AGTAAAAACTGCCTGAAAGACGATACAGATTACCCCCAAAAATGAGAATGAGAAAGTTAACTTGCAAAAGAAGGGGTCATTTAACTAATGAAAAGCACCAAATATTAAATCTAGTAAAAACCTTCACATACTTTACAGATTCTCAACATAACAATTGCCATGGTGGAGAAATAAGCAACTAAGCAAATTTAAGTCCAACTTTGCTAATAAAATATATATTTCCAGGAATGTGGAACTTTGTATAATAAATGGCCAATATATTCTTTCAAAAAAACATAAAACTACATTTCAGAAACAATGTAGATGTTTTCTAAGCACATACCACAAGCCTAAGAAAAGAAATCATTGGATTTATTTGGAAAGGAAAGTGTTCAGTTTGTCTGAGTGCATGCAGTCATTTTTATTTGTTTATTATGCATCTTTTGAACATACTTTGGTTGAAATCTGCACTCTTCAGATCTCTGAGGAGGAGACAGAGTTTTCACTAATGGGTTTCACGTTATTATTTGAACTACAGAGTTCAAAAAGTCACCTGCGGGGTTACTGCAACCCACAAACCCACACAAGGGTCTTCATGAATTAATAAGAAAAAATGATGTAAAAGTAGACAGAAGTATTGAAGTGAAAACTGACATATTAATTCTGTCTAAGATGATTAAAAGGGGGCCTTCTACATACTTTAAGCAAAGCAGGTCTTTTTCTGAGGTGGAGAAAAAATACAATTAAAGCAGAGTAAAAATATTAAAATCCATTTAATAAAATCATAATGAGATATATTAGACTTTCAAAGACTGCATTCAGAGATGCAGTTGTAGAACACAGTGTTTGAAGAACATATGTAATGCTCATTGCCAGCTCTGAAATAGTCAAGTATACATGTACAATATTCAAGTAAATTAAAAGGGAAAAGAAGACCTCTCTTGTTATAACTTAATTGATTGAGCCTTACCCTGGAATAAGAACGGCTCTGGACATGTGAGTCTGGAACTCAAAATAAAACAGTAGCTCCATGATATCTGTTAGCATTTCCTATAAACATAATAACAGCAGTTCTGTCTTATGTGCAGCACGTGATTATCCTCGGTTATTTCTGAATGCTTTGAAGGCATTATGACATTTCAAATAGGAAAACAGAACTACAGGAAAGTGCCAAAGGGGAAACCAAGAAAGATCTAATACTATTGTACATGTATTCTTTGAAAACCATCTACAAATTCATACACACCTATATATTACACAAATGTACTGCTAGGACTTTGAGTTCTCGTAATGTAAACAAAATTGCCTACACCTTACCTAAACTTACAAACTCCAGAAGCACACATTCCAATGTGGAATACTAACTCCTGTATCTAGTATGCAAACAGGCACTCACTTTGGAATGAATGGCGGTCTTTTTTAGACGTGCACCACACCACAGAAAATACGGAAAAATCTTACATTATTTTGAGTATCTTGAGGTCACCTTATGTTGTAGATAGCATGAACAGTAGAAAAGTACAAAATTTATACATTATACATATGTATTATTTACATAAGGCAATAACCACAATTGTAAAACCCAATATTAAACATGGGGATGTGTAGGCCATTTACTCACAAGATTGTAGCATGATTTCTATGATTGAAACAAAGAAAATAATGCAGCCCAAGGGCCATGCTGACAGCAAAAAACAATAATATACATCACCTTTAAACAAAGCAATATGAAAAAACAAGATAATTTTAATATGAACTTGTTATGCAAGCATTTATATCACCCTTAATACACCACGTACATGAAATAGATTCTAAAGAGTGATATTGACACTGTACAACTGTACACTGAAGCTGCCCAATGTGCCTTTAAGACTTGAATATTTAAATACTTAGGCCTTTAACTGATATATTTATAGAACACAGTTATGTTTAAAACCTCCAGATATACAACAAAACTCACAAGATCACAGCATGTAAGAAACAGCATATTTACTGTACAAAGCAAATAAAGACACACATTATTTTTTTGTGAAACAATATTCTACAAACCATAAAAGAAGAAAATTAATGCTAAATGCTTGTTCCCCCAGGTTTCAAGGCAGTCAAAGAAAACATTCCAGACCTAATTAACACATTAATTTCTTCTGATGTTGACATTAGGCTGAAATTGGCTGTAAAAGGGCTGTCTAGCAAACCTTTTTATACTTGCCATCTTCTTAGAATCAGGGACTTACTGACTTACTCACAAATAAAGCTCCACTTTAAGCAAAAAACATAAATACATGGCTTAAATATTTTAAACTCAAACTTTGCACTGGACTAAGAACGGATTCACTTTTGTGTTTGTTATGAAGCACACTCCCCAACAAGCTACAACCTGTCTTATCAGTGATTTAATCATCTTTGTGAGAAATATTGTGGAAAACTAGAGGACAACCCACAGCCAATAGGAGGGGGATAGATGAATGAAGAAAGGATATCTTCCTTAAAAAGAAGCAAAAATAAGCTGAAAGGGAAACCCTTATAAAAAGCAAGGCATTCATAAACTGAACTGAACGTGATTTGCTTAATGAGATAATAGGAAACCATACACATTTAAACACATCACATAAGTCAGTTTTTATACCACCTAATGACAAATGTTATTTACTGCTAAGTAAGGATGGAACAGGGATGTAGTGTGAAACAGACAGGTGAAAAACTACCTATATAACTTTAATTAAAAGTGTATGACTACAGTTTTTTTTAAATAAAAGAAAAAAAGTTATTTACCACCTAGGCCCACCAGAAAAAAGAAAGTAGCAAAGCTTTGCATTACTTACTTCACTTCAACTCCCTGAAACAAGCTCTTTCTCTGTGTTTGAGTTTAGAATATCCCTTCTAAAGCCTTACGAATAGCTTTGGAAAGGCTTTTAGTGGGAACTGACTCACCTCCCAGCACCCACCCCACATCATTTAACTTTAGTAGGTAAATATTTCCAAATATGGAGAAATGTACTCAAAAATAAGTCCAAATAAGTCCTCCATGCTCTTTCTAAAGGAAGTTTCACCACTCCAATGCCAAATAGTTTACGGCACATATTGTGGATACAAAGTTAAAAAAGCACTGAGAGGAAAAACTTCATTTGTTTTTTTGCCTCTAGATTTACAAACAAAATTTGAATCTGGCAATTTGAATCTGGGAAACTAAATAACAAACTTTCAAAAGTCAATAAAAAGGGCAGAATAATCATTTCTAAAAACATCCTCAACTATTGTCGACTATGGACCCTTTTCAAGCACAACATCAAACAAAAATAAATAATAAAATAACCCGCAGTTCAAAGCAATACAGAAAGATTGAACCTGACTAACATGTAGGTCTACGTTTTTTTCCCTATGCCAACAATGATTTAGAAAAAGAACCACTCACTTGAGGTCATTTTAATTTAAAGGTTAAAGTTCTGGTATTTCAAGTGACAAAACAAGCGTCCATTGGCATACTGACCAGAAACTAATATATCTTCAGTTAAAATTTGTAAAAAAAAATATTCTTCACCTTTTGGGCTTAGATTCCGAGATAAAAGTTGAATTTTCAATCCGAGGGATCACACATCAAGATCTCAAGAGAAACAATTAGTAATATACATTATCCTCTGTTTTTTTCATCTTTGTTAGGAATGCTCTATATTTCTACATTCTACTGCGATATGACTTAGTGTACCATTAAAATAACGGTTACCCCCCGGGAGCTGACCTAGAATGAAAGCTTGACCTGACCTCCAGTTTTAAATTGGGATTAGATTACCAGATTTTAAGAAGTGTTTCCAAACAAAGATTAATGCAATTATAATGTGCCAAAAAGGGGATATCTATAAAAAGGTTGCAGCTATGCAAGCCATTCAAGCATGTGTGAGTGCAGGTTTGTGTAACCGCTTTAAATATTGACACAAGCTTCATAAAATTCAAACTAATCCTTATATAATCAGGTTTTCAAAGTCACATTTGTGCAAAAAACATGAAGTAGGAAGATACAGTATGTTAATTGCACTTTCATGAACGGTATGCAAAGGAAGCACAGAAATACCAGTTTAGAAATAAATTTCAAGAAGGACTTCACCAATATTGCCATTACAACTGCAAAAGGAATAGCAGCCTGTGAAAGTTTCCCTTTTTTTACTCTTGAACTATGATTGAGAGTAACCACTCGACACTTGATTTAAAAAGAACACTCCACTCTTTACAGCATTAGTTTGAATGATTCCTACTACTATCGCCTTTAAACATGTCCCTTAACAAAACTGAACGTGCATTTGTCATTCAGTGGGTATATGCAATTATATAATAATACTAGATATTTTTCCCAATATTTATTTGTTGTATTAATGCCTCTGAGTATGTTATTCTTTAGTTTATTTTCCGTTGATCTTGGGATTCTAATAACTGCTCAAAACAAACATCAGCTACCAAACCATTTCTCAAAAGCCATAAGAACCAAAATAGGATGGTTGTCAATTTCACACCACGCAGCTGCAGTGCTAGATCTTATCATTTGGCTCAACATTAGTTTGCTTCCCTTGACCATCACTCCCAGTCAGATATGAGTGATGACTGCAGAAGCAACCAGTCTCCTGAAACATGCAATCACCGTACTGCATAAAAGAAGGAAAAAGCCCAAGTGGGAATTATGTCCAATTTAAAAATCTGGATATGTAACAACTAAAAACAAAATAATATGAAAGAAGATATTATTTACTATTTTCTGTATTATTTTAAATGTCAAATTTACTGAAATGAAATGAACTGAACAAATGTTTCCAAAATGGTTTTTGAGACCCTAAAGCATTGGCTTAAATCGGCTGTTTTTCTTTGTACCGTATGTGACTCTTTACTGACCTCTCCACTAACAGCCTGCAAGAGAAACGCATTTGGATTCACAAGGCTTTGCACAATGTGGAATGCCCAAGTCCTCATTTCTGAGTACAGGTTTGTCAGAGTGCACGGCAGTGGTGGCTTCACAGGGTCACTGCTAGGTTACATACCTCTTCCTTCTCCACACGTCACACAGCGAAAATAGCTCTGGAACTCGCTCGGCTTTCCCTCTCTCTGCGGTGTTCTTAGGCTCGTTCACGTCTAAAATACAAGGAAATAAACGCTGATGTGCAGTACATGACCTTTTTGTCACAACACTCAAACTCAGAAGAACAGAAAGATTCAAAGCACCTGTCACTTCCAATGCCAGTACGGTAGGTTGACGCAGACTTCTTAAATTTGACACACGTGAAAGAAACTGAACCTCACAAAACTGAAAAGCAGTTATTAATGAAAGCAAACTGCTATTGACTCAAACACTTCATCTATTTCTTCCGAGCTGGCCTTTCTCTCTTGTTTTGTATCTCTTTTTCTACTGTGCTTTGTTTTTTTTTCCCCCTCTTAGAAGTATTAATGGGCTCTTATTCCTATGTGGTTGTTTCCCTTTACTAGCTTGATGGATCCTGGGATTTAAATAGTCATGAGGTAAAAACAAACCCTCTCAGATAAAATGCTGGGGTGTTGCACTGTAAGATGTGCGACATTTTAGACCAGTGTGCAATATATGACAAGCCCTTTCAAACTGAAAATGAAAAATCTTAATATTGCAGCCTTTTGAATTCCAACCACATTTTTAATGTAACCATTCAGCATTTCCTAAACTGACTTTTGTTTAATGTTGCCATCACAAAATATCAATATGAAGAAAATTGATATCTATCTTACAGAAAAATCACTGAAATCATCGTGACTCTTCTATAGTATACATTTGCCATCTGGAACTTGGACAGAGTTCTTAATCCAGAAAAGGCCTAGAAATCTCTTAGCTCTTTACAACACGCATGATAGCAAGGCAGAAAATATTTGCCCATTTCTGACACAATCCGCCAATCTTGTTTTTAGTTGTCTGACTTCACAAATTCAGACAGTTATGACACCAACGTTTCCAAACACTTTGATGTCTTGTTTACACACACATCAGCAAAAGTCAAAACTGGCCACAAGAAAGACCGTACATTTTAATCTATACCTACAATCTCATAAAAAGCAAGTGCAAACAGCAGAAATGGAAGCTTCCTTTGATGAAGTTTCTGAACAGAACCAAGTGATGCCTTTATCCGTCGGACACACGACACTGTCAGGAATGCCCCTTTTCTGTTACTTGGCTCCTAATCTATCATGCTCAATGAGCCCATATTAATTTCTCTTCCTGCCTGCCGTGCAACAGCTCACTGGAGATACATGCAGAGTAATCATTTTCATTCCTCCTGCCACAGCACCGACTCCGAGGGGATCTGTTGTCTAATTCTCAGCTTTCCAAGCTCCTCTTGCTTCTTTCCGAACAAATACCCATATTCCTTTAAAACTTACATGACTAATTGACACCCAAAAAATTATATGACGATTCTCTTTAAAATCATCTGCTCTGTGTACTTGCTTTAAAACCATTTTCATGATATAAGAAAACATTGTGCTTGAAGTAAAAACAAAACATATTAGACTGCTTCAAGCTATCCAGTACTACTTTTGCATTCCCAACAGTGCACACGTGAATTAATGTGAACACTACAACACGATACCTCACTATCACATGCCTTGCAAACTGTGGTTTACAGAAGAGTTTCTTTGCATTTATGTCAACTGTAAAGTTCTCTTTAAAGGACTTACAGTGTTAATGCTGTTTGAGAGGGGAAGCACTGAACGTGCTACTCTTACTACTTCACCAACTATAGTGTCAAGTTTCACAGGCATATTCAGTAAAATTGCATGCCTAATTAGAACTCCCAATATGCAAAATCTCAGTTTGTTTTTTTTCAAGTTTCCAGAAATGACAAGCCCTCATATTCAGTTTGATGATAAAACGCTTGGGGTAAGAGCTATGCAGGAATTGATATCAAAGTGTAATTTGAACTATTTTTGAATTTAAAAAAATCAAACTAGCACAACTTATTTAATTCTAACAATAATTTGTGCAGTCTGGACCAGTTATCATACAATTAAACTTAAGTCCATAATGCTTCATCATAGGCTTCAGAGACCATTTCCTGCAGATGCCATTTATTTAACAGCACAGACAAATATTCAAGGTGAAATAACAGCCTCACAAAAGATAGATTTAACTGTAAAAGTTGCCTATAGGAATTACACATTTCTCAGAAACAAAGGAGGGATCGAGTGCCGTCAACAGTCCTTTAGGAAAACATGTTTAATGCTCTGTAGTTGTGTAAAAACAGAGACACATAAGTAAACTTTACAAGTACATTAAAGTGGAAGATTTTCAGTTCTTATTTTTCTAAAAAGCTGTACTAACTTAAAACGAGTAAGAATTCATTGATCAGACAAAATTCTTTTAAAATGTGCCCCACCCTCCCCCTTCATTGCAATTTACAGTACCTGTCAAGGCACGCAAACACAAACACTTTCGTTTGCCTATGTTTGCTTGCTTTGTTTGTGTTTAATGATAAACGTAACTGAATAAGTCCTGTTTATGCTGGATTCTTTAAGACATTAGTAGGCTGCCAAAGACACAAGGCATCCAAACTGAGACAGTCAGTGTTACAGAAGGAAACCATCCCAAAGAGGCAGTACATACAGCAAGATGACAAACAACTACACAGCTGAGTTGGTTCAATACAAAAAAAACTGTGGGCCCGTGATTTTTCTGTAAAAGTCTTATTTAAAAAACACAAACTAATTTGATCTGGTCCAAGGTGCCTTATATATTTTCAAGGTTTTGTTGTTTTTTAGTCCCATATTATAAACACCCTTAGCAGACGGACTGAGGAGAATCTTCCACCTGCCTTTGCTCACCATTTGCAAAGATGTGCATTAGAAAGACTTATAGTAATAATAAGCAAGCAGTTTAATGAGAAAAGCAAGGCATATTATCCACTCCTCAAATCTCCCTTTCAGCTACTGCTTCAAAACTGTGTTCACACGGCATGCCTAAAATTAATGGGAACCTTAGTGTCCCATCTACAGATCCATTTTCAAATAAAATGCTGTGAATATATTTTAGACAGCTCTTATTCCATTACATTTTATTCACCGATAACTAATGCAAAATAGTGGCACTCATCTGATGGAGCTTTGGTAGTTTCATCGAGTAGAGTTGATTTGAAACTACTAGCCCTCAGGCAGTGTCCCAAAAACACCCTAAGATGTTACAAACAAGAGAAGGTCTTTTAGCCCATTTGGGAATTAGTAACTAATTGATCTCATCCAGCTGTTTCTTAAAAGAAGCCACTGTACTGGCTTCACAAACATGACGGGTTGCTTGTGCTAGAAATCCACAACGCAGAAACTGTCTTCATGTGGGCCTATTTCACAGTGGAATTACAGATGACTTGTGTTAAGATTCAGACTCACCGCTTTCATGTTATAGTCAAAAACGTGGCACATGGTCACACTACCCTACTGCATACAGCAACAAGTAGTCATTTCTCCATTGAAGGGTCAGGCCAGCTCTGTACTACTAAATTGCAACTGGGTGTGCAGGCCTGTTTCAGAACATTACAGTGCAGTCAGCTGCGATCACTGCATTTCAGAAGAATTAGACAAATGTGCTGTAATACAGCTCATTTGTAAATGTATTTAAATGTGTCATCACAATATTTTTTATCATATTCGTTCTAAAGCCTAATAAGCAAACAAGTCCCTTTGAACCTCCTACACTGCCTAACCATGGTGGTTATTGGAATTTTTATGTCATTATCACACCACCCAATACTTATCTGTGTGACTTGTTCAGAATCCTGATTACTTCCTTCAAACAGTGGACTATTCCACTCGCAGCAAAGGTGTTATTTTGGCCAACAATCTTTTCGGTACGAACCACACATCCTGTAGCATAGTGCATTAAAAGATGTTCCTGTAGTACACGTCACTGAATCACAAGCCCATCTGCTACAACATTCTAAACGTTCCTATAGGCTACACAGTGTAATAGTATGCAAAAAACAATGACAAGTATAGTCCTCTAAAATCATTACGAGGGCGGAGGCTCAGTTAAATAATTTGTGATTCTCTTTTGAATAGTAACACTGTAGCAAACTACTAAATCATTGTATTTGTAGCACAAGGCAGTTTATAAACGGGAAACAAAAGTTGCGTTTTATACTGGGCTCATTCGTACATACGCCCAACATAAAACTTTTTTTTTTCCTCGGAGAAGGTAACGCTATCTCGCCTCCTCGCAAATAAAATAATTATTTTTAAAAAATCTCCATGTCGCCCAGTTCACAAGCTGCAAGCAACTCACTTCCGCCTTGAACTACATGGCTTCGTTTAGGAAAACGTCGAGTATGAGTTGCAGTTCCCCTGAAGAACCAAATATTAATAACAATAACAAGAAATCAATCGGAACTACACACTAACAAAACGACTCTCAAACCTAAAAAATAACTAAGCAGAAAACCTGTAGCACAGCCCTAGACTTTCAAAGTTTAGTCAATGCCACTCGTCTCGCAGGGGGAATAAAAACTAAGTACCCCTTACCACAACAAGCCCACACCCTCCATTGCACTGGCGAGCTGTATAACTGATTCACCTTTGCAAAGAACAATACGTTGCATTACTGTTCTACTGTGTATTTACTAGGATACACCGCGACATTGTGTCGGGCACCTTAGCGTTACTGGTTCTTAAATAAGACGCGGACATTTTTCAGCAACTCTCCATTTCTCTTACCTCGCTTTCTAAGAATCAATGAGTTTCAAATCCCACAAAAACTGAAACTTCTTTTTCCCAAAATCTGGGAGAGCAGCAGGCAGTGACGTCACTGCTCTAAATTCCATCCGACAGAGACACCCTTAGCACTGAAAATTGCCCATGTAAGGCAGTGTACATAGTATTGCAACCTCTCTCTTCCTGGAGTAAGGCTTTTCTTTATCGTTTTACAGTCAAGCTATAAGAACCATAAAAGCATAATCTTACTTGAAAAAGTGCTCGCTGCAGAAGCACATTTTCATTTGTTAAGCGATATAAAAAGTTAGTCAATAAAATGTGAAAGGCATTCCAAGTTTTTTAATACAAAATTAATGTATACAAAAAAGTATAATGACGACAAGCAACGAAAAAATTGATAAATACATGATTGTAAGAATTTGTAAGAAAAATTACATCTTGAACAATGAAATAAATAGTATATAAATAGTGAAAATGTGGAAAAAGAAATTAGTAGAGAAAGGAGCTAAATATTAATTAGAATATCGAAAGAGCTTCCTACAGTATATGGACATATTTGGAAAGTACATTTAACAACAACACATAACTGTTTTACTGTTTGGTCTAGAACACTTATATCAATCAAATAAAATCCTAAATACAGTAGTCATTGCTTTTATTTACCTTTTGGCTTTACCAGGTATTATAAAATAATTAAAAAGTACCGTATAGCAAGGCGCAATGTACCTGATGCAGATCATAAAATGTATAGTTTATTTTGATATAGGCTGTACAGTATTCTGTAAGATCACTGCTATCTCTTATAAAAGAACAACAACAAAAGGGTAAAACAAAGAAATTGTTGAAAAGCGTAAAATCCTAAGATCTCATACAGAAAATTTCCATTGGTGTTAGAGTACAGTTATGAAATGAATACTGAAAAAAAGGAGGAATAAAAGTGCATAAAAGTAGACATTGAAAAAAATTCCACTGTACCACTATGCAAATAATGCAACACAGAAGACAAAGAAAAGGAGATATGAAAATATCATAGCCACAATACCTTGGGAGAAAAATAAACATGAGAATCTGATATTCTGTGTTCCTGGAGGACAGCCTGAGTGGAGTTTTAACTAAGCTCTTGAGGACTAAAACATTTTGGTAAATGTAAGAATGTGAGTCTTAGATAGCTTAGGATCAAAAGTAACTCCAAGATCTTTTTTCTTGGTTTTCAAAGCTCAGAAGGATATGGGGAGATGAGAAGAATTCCTTTGCTTGGAGTTGAGAGGTGGATAAAATCAGCCAAGATTGGCTGAAGATAACTCCTGCTCGCCCAGTGCTCAATATTTTTGAGGCACAGATTAAAAACAGAGGTGTATGTTTTTAAGATGTTTTAAAGGAGGAACCTGGGCATTATCAGTTCCTGCCACTGACAATCTGTTAAAAAACATTCAGACCTTTGCTCAGAATTCTAAACATCAGCGCGGACAGATTTGCAGTCCTACTCGGTTTCTGAACACTTCATTCTTCAGTGCTGCATAGGGGCAAGCATATTAAGTTTTATCTGCTCATGGGTGTATAACCACTCCCAGTTTTGTTATTTGAAAAGAATAGCTTATTGGCAGCCAATTTATAGCAATCATACAGTATGTATGTATTCACAAATACTTTATCTATTCATAAAATAAAGGATGAAGAAAAAATATTTTTGTTTTTATTAAAATGAATATATTCATCCTTTCTTGCAAGCATAAATGGAAATTTAATCATCACAATCAAAGACAATGCTGCAGTATTTCACATCTTGAAGTCAACCAAAAGCAAAGTGGATTTTTGCATGGTGATTTGTGACCTCTAAAATACTCAATTCAGTAAAAACAAAGAAGACTGCACAATTCTAAAGGAGAACGGTACACTAATGTGTATCCAGAAATATAAAGAAATAAGAATATAGAACATTTTGTTATCTAACATCAGCTTTTCCCAAGAATTCACCTCCAAAACGGAATACATGTCGTATTTGTTTTTCCGATAGCCATAGCTCATGAAAAGTTCATTATGTCCTTTCAAATGAGCCGCAAATCACACTTTGTTATTCCAGTAGACACAGTTCTTAAAACGTTCATAACCTCCTCCAAAACATAATAAAAAGACTTTTCACAAAAAGGGGTTTAATGAAATGCTGTCTTTGACAGGGAATTACATTTACATCATTCCATTGATGGTGTTTGTGAAATGCATGAACATTAAGCAGGAGAATACAACAAACATTATTTTATTCATCTAAAAAAACAAAACCATTATTCACTAATGGAATAGGCCTTTGTAACCTTCCAATCTTGTCAGTGCTCTGATATTGTTTAGAACATATTTCAATCCATGCTTTCACAAACAACTCTTTGGTAACAGTGCCTACAGGTATGTTACATAAATCCACTGTATTGGAAATCCTGTTAAAGATGATCAGAGAAATGGATCCAAACAGCAGCAATGTTTGAAAATTCAAGAACATCATAAAATTCATACAATTTACAATGCTGTTTTGTGCTACTGTTTTTTTCTAGGTGGACATATAAAAAAATACTACATGAAGAGCACTCTTGAGAAGTATACTTCTATTTGAAGCGACAACTAAGCAATTTGACTGGAGAAATTGTCTATATCAACCCAATTACCAATTGCTGCAAGCACTTTGTAAACTACTTTGTGCTTCATGCATGAAAAACATAGTAGAAAACTAAAGATTAAATATACAGATAAAAGTGTGGTTTTCATAGTTTCTCATTTTAAATCCCCTAAAATGTAGGTTTGAGGGCACAAAGGAAAGTAATCTTGTTTGTAATATGCAACGCAACGCCCAGCTTGCAAGTTTGTTCATTGGCCCAGCTTGCAAGTTTGTTCATTGGCAAATCGTTCTTGCTTTGCCTCCTGTTACATTTCTCTTAAAGCTGCTATCAAAAAACAACCACATAACATATCCTAAAACAGCTGACATCCCCAAAGCAGATCTCTGATGTACTACAAAATTGATTTGTTTAGTTAACAGTGTTGTAGACAAGGCATGGAAAGTGAAATCTGTCAGCAGGGCTGTGACACAGCTCCCTGTCAAAGTTGTCAGAGAACTGTGAAGGATTTCGGAGCTCCACAATGTGTAACGTTGGAGCATTTTAATTGTCATTTGTTTAGTGATATTCTATCCCAAAATAAAAAAATAACAGAGGTGAAATATAAACGCAAGTGCAACACCCCCAACCCACCCCCCCACCAAAAGCAATAAACTCATTTATTTTTGTACAAAACAATAAACCAACTAGGATGTTGTGAAAAGCCTTTTTTAGTTTACAAAACAAGGCAAACATTTCCAGTGTCGGATATCCTGTTATATATTGTATCGGTATAGATGACGCTTTTTTTTCTGCCACTTCCTCTAGGTGCCTTACACATTACTAACCACCTCATCTGCTGTTGAAAACGATACAATGAGCCACACTCACCACACTGCAGTTATTTCTGTACAGTGCACAGCACGTTTGGCTGTTGTCAACTTTGATACAGGCTCTATAGGCCATTCCCCCATGACCTTCAGTGATGATAGTCTATGCTTCTTTCTGAGAGAAACACGTTAAAACAACTGGTTTCAAACATCTGTCCTGGAGAATGAAGGTTTTAAAATGATCCAATTTTTTTAAAAAAAATGTTTATGTACATTTATTTGAAGAGTTTCGCAGGAAAGCATTGTGCAGCACAGCTTGCTTTCAATTGAACAACACGCCCTGAATACATGTCAACCCAAAGCCAAAATCGGGGAAAGTGAAATTTTTACAGATACTTTTCTCGTCATCTGTGTTATTGTAAAATGAGTTATTATGAAACTGCACAGATAACCTGAACTGAAAGCAGAATCTCCCGGAGGTGTTAGACTATCTAAATTGCTACAGAAGTATGCAAAATTATTGTTTCCATGGTCTGTTAACAAGTGAGGACACCAGTATGTGATGAACAATCTATTGTAGTGAATCGAAGAGAAGATTGAATAGGGTAGGACTATAATATTACAAAATAGAAGAATAAAACAGTTCAACAATAATAACACAAACTATTGACAAAAAGGGCAAAAAATAACTTTATTTTTAAATATGTTAAAGAATATATCTACATTTCACAAACATTAACATCAATTGCTTTGTTACATTGTGCAGAAGATTGTATACTGTATGTGCATATCTTGTTTAGCAGTTTGTTTGAAATGTCATTTCACCAAAACCACACAAACCTTCTTTTCCGGCTATATACAGGAAATTATTCATAGGAGAAAGAAGGAGTAAGCAGAGTTCATTTAAGTGCAACACAACATCATACACCTGAAACAATATTGTATCATTTCAGCATAGGTGTATTTTGTCATTATTTTTTTTTTAAATTGTACTTGCATTTTAAATACAATTTGGAGGGGCTTTTCTCTGGCGATTCTGGAGGAGGGTGTTGAGTGTTGGCCAAGTGATAGGAAATAACATTTAGAACTGCAGGAATATGCTAGGGGCATCCAAGTGCATGATGCTTCTTAGAAACAAAATCAGTCACACAGCTGTTCCAACTGTGCTTCTGCTTAAGCTTGCTGAAGTGAGTTTGGCCAAACTTGTGTTGATTTTGGTTGCTATACGGATATAAGATAAAAATCAACTGACAGGTGTACTCTGAGCTTTTCTTTATCTGTGTGGTGTCTTTTTAAACTCTGCTGAATGTTTGAAAGGCACGTCTCAAGATCTGGGAATGGACAAGATTAAAAAATGAAGACTTACATTGAAGAACACGAGTTGCACTTTCTTGTCTTATTTAACACTTTCTCCCTCCCCTCACAACCCCCCAAAAAACCAAAAGAAAAAATACATTGAGTTTAATTCAAAACAAATTTAAATTCAAAACCTCGAATCCAAATTTGATAAAATTCAAATTACAATAATAAATCTATCAGATAATACCAAGTTAATATTTTATCAATTTGACAAATCTGTAAAATAAAAAAATGTTTCCTCTATTCATGCACCTGTAATTAAGAATGTTGCAATGGAGCACTCCATTTTAGATTCTTTAAATTTGACCTTTTAATGTTTAAGAACATATTGCCATGGATAACTGTGGATATGTCTACTCATATCACTCATATCAGTGGAAGC